GAGCTGAGCTAATATTTGAATCTGTACTTGCATACAGAAGGAAGAACAAGATGAAACAGTTGGTCACAATTGGTATTCTGGTCTCTAACCCATTTTCTTTTAGAAAGTTAACCAAATCTTTAATAGTCTGGAGCAGATTCAACCTCTTTTCCAGTTTAGCACTTGCTGTAGGATGGTAACTGTGACCAGGTTCCTATTATTTATCTTCACCAGATTTCTGCCTTAGAATCGTAGAATGGTTTAGTTGGAAAGGATCCTTGAGTTGGAAGACCATCTAGTCCAAACCCCCTACAACAAACAGGGACATCTACACGGGTGCTCAGAGCCCCATACAGCCTGACCTTGAGGTGTCACCAGGGATGGGGCACCCGCTGCCTCTCTGGGCAGTCTGTGCCAGTGCTTCACCACCCTTACTGTAAATTTAAAAACAAACAAACAAAAAAACAAACCCAAGAAACTTCTTCCTTCTATCCAATCTAAATCTCTTCTCCCTGTCTTATCACAACAGTTCCTCCTGAAGAGTCTGTATCCTTTCTTACAGCCCTCTTTTAGACACTGAAAAGACTCCCTGGAGCCTTTTCTTCTCCAGGCTGAGCAGCCCCAGCTCTCTCAGCCTGTTTTTATAAGGAAGGTGTTCCATCCCTTGGATCATTTTTGTGGCCCTCCCCTGGACACGCTCCAACAGGTCTGTGTCTCTCCTGTACTGAGGACCCTACATCTGGACACACTACACCAGGTGAGGTCTCACCAGTGCAGAGTAGAGGGGCAGGATCACCTCCCTCACCCTGCTGGCCACACTTCTTTTGATGCAGTCTAGAATACGGTTGGCTTTCTGGGCTGCCAGGGCACACTGCTAGCTTGTAGCCAGTTTGCCATCCTGCAGCACGGCCAGGTCTGTTTCAGCAGTGCTGTGCTCAATCCTATTGTCCTGCAGCTTGCATTGATAGTGGGGGTTGCCACAACCCACGTGCGAGACCTTTCACTCGGCTTTGTTGAACCTCATGAGCTTCACCTGGGCCCACTCCTTCAGCCTGTCCAGGTGTATCTGGATGACATCCCATCTCTCAGGTGTGTTGACTGCACCCCACAGCTTGGTGCCCTCAGCAAACTTGCTGAGTGTGCACTCAACCCCACTGTCAGTGTCATTGATGAAGATGTTAAAGAGCACTGGTCCCAGTACTGATCCCTGAAGGACACCACTTATCACTGATCTCCAGAACACAAAGCCATTGACCATCATGACCATCACTCTCTGGATATAATCTCACAAGCAGTTCCTCATCCATCTAACAGTCCACCTTTCAAATCCTTATCTTTCCAACTTAGAAAGAAGGATCTTATGTGGGACCGTGTCAAAGGCCACAGAGGTCAAGAGTTTGCTTTTCTGGCCAGTTATGTGAGAATGATTTCCATTAATATGTAGCCCATCTGGATGTGTTGATAGTTTTCAGTATATCAACAACCATTTAAAACCACCACCAGTGAAGTCAAGTTCTTACGGTGGTAGCAGTGTCAATAAAAACTTGCTGGAGGTGAACTTTGAAACCTCTGAGCTGGTGCAAGCAACTTCTGGCATTTTGCTTTTACATAATTTGTTCCAACTTTGACAGTCTTCTTAATTTTGCATTTATTTTTACCAGCTGTTCTTTTCCATGCAGAGGAGGATAGATTGAAACTTAAAGCATTAAAAATATCTCACTTGCTTAATTACAGGATCTTGTTGCTTTTAATCTCTTCTTCAGTTTTTTTTTCTTTTAAACTGAATTTATTCTTTGTAATCTGTGGTGGATATATTATAGCACTCCTGACGCATTATTCTATGTTAATAACTCCAGAAAAGTTTCTCTTTTCTGAGTTTTCTGAAGTGCATACCTTGTATATTCTGCTGTACCACTTGTTATGATGTTTATAACTTTAATTATGTTTTTCCTGGAAAATCCTAAGAAATAGAACTGCACCTGTAATGGGGAGGAGAGGGAAGAGCTGGTGTAGCTGTGATGCAGTGTGACTAATAGATGCAGGTAGTGCTTCCTTTCATGCGTGCACCAGTCTGACAGAAGACGTGCCAGAGTGTGGATGAATGCATGACTGTCAGAGGCAGATACTTCCCTGCTCTGAGTTGTTCTGCATTTGTTTATCTGACCCCTTGTTTTGCTGGTGAACAGATGAAAGTGTACCTAACCCTCCAGAGAATCTTGGTTGTATCTTCATAGTGGGTAAAAATAGTAAATAAAAAGATTAAGTTTACTTTTTGTTTTAGGAGAGCAAGAGAGGCGTTTGCATGTTGGCAAGAAGCTTGTGTAAAAGCTCATGGATGGCTTTGACATGTGTTAGAGGTGTCCAACTGACTTCAGCTGAGTGAAAGTTCTGCTTTTTGGTCTAGATAGAGTTTATTAAGAATACTTTAGAATCTAACTGTATATTTCTTGAAGAGATTTTATTTCTCGCAAAGTTTATAAAGATCAAGCTGTTTGAAATGCATTTTTTCCTTCTAGTTATTGATGGTTATGAAATCAGCAGCATTTCTTGGAATTGAGGCCCTGAGAATTAAATTGAATACTTTGCAGTGATTCTGTAGTAGTCATGCAGAGAAAAGATACTGAAGAGCTAGGGTTTTTTTTTTCTGTTGCTTTAATTTAGTTCTGCATTACATAAAACTGGTTTGTGCTCATTCATTTCAGGGTGTTTGGCTTTGCTGACTTGGCTCTGGATTTTGCAGAACGCTGTGGTAGCACTGAGACCACCTCTCCCTAAAATACTCTTTTAATTCAGTGTGGGTGATGCAGTTATTTTCAGTCATTCGAGAGCTTTTGGTGGCAAAGATCTCCAGCAAGTCAGGGTGCATAAGCCTTGTCTCAAAGCAGCTGGAGTTCTTTCTGTGAGAGAAAATGGGCTGAGTATGGCTTCTGACCTTTGGTCAGGCTGTAGAACAAAGCTGGGACCAGGTGGGGCCAGCCAGTCTGGATCTACTGCTGCCATGAGGGAGAAAGGTAGGAGAAATGGTGCTCACATGAGGTGGGACAGAGCTGTGGCATCAAGTGTTAGGGTGTGAATTCGCACTGCTGCTGTGCCTCATCTTTTCATCGGCTGTCCTGGTCACTCAGGATGAGGCTTTGGTCAAGTGCTTCCAGCAGAGCTGTGCACAGGACTGCTGGAGCTGCACGGTTTTCTTTTGGGAGTTCCCTTCTATGTACGTTTTAGTCATCTTTGCTGTCTGTCACGATGTGTGATTTGAGAAACCAGATTATGTGTTTATCTGGGACAGTCCAAGTGCGTCACTAATGGCATGTGAGCATTGATAAGCGAATTGGCAAGCCCTTACCTTTAGGGGCCTGCATGACAGTGCCCCGGGTAACCTGAAGCCAGGAGCACTTGTAAGAAGCAGCCTAACTCCTGAGGGCTGTGCTTATCCCTGAGGGGAAACTGACTGGGAGGATATTGGTGGGCAAAGAGGGTTTATGCATTGCTGAGCTTGGGAACGAAAAGCTGGCTGGTGCTGGTGCATCTAACCTCTATTCCCAAGAAACAAAACCTAGCATCCCTACTGAAGACACATGCAGAAGACTTTTCAAAAAGAAAGTAAATATGTGGATTGCAAGCTGTAGGCTTGTGTAGCTTTATGTAGTTGATGAACATTTCTGAAATCATGAATGAGGAAAGAGGAACTTGCATCTGAAGAGGAACAGATCTTTTGTAGAATATTCAAGGGAAGAAAAATTAAAGCAGTAAATCAAACACTGAAATAATCCATTAAGGACTGGATAACTTTTTAAAAAACCAAACAGCTGTCCTTTTTGCTCTAGAGGTCACTACTTTACTTTCGGAGTTTGTTCTCAAAATGCTAGGGCTTGGCTAACTCTGGGGATCTTAATTATTTCAAAAGCAACTTCAAAACCATCTCCCTGTGTCTTGCTGAGGTTAGCACTGTTGATTTCCCTCCGCTCTTGAGTAGTCCTTCCTTTATTATAGTTGACTTAGTCAGTGCAGGGCTTCTGGCCAGCACCCTTAGCTTATGCTAACATAACAATGAGACATCCTGTCTGGGTGAGCCAAACCCAGTGTCATTAGTTCATGCTTGCCCGTTACACGTAAGTTAATTAAATTAATTTGGCTCTGTTGTGCCATCGCATGAGTACTCCTGTTCTCAGATTGCTGGACTGTGGATATCTCATTTTCCCTTTTCACGGTGAAACTATTTCAGCTTTTTCCCTATTTTAGTGCATAGGATGTATGCCTTACTATTAGGGAGAGGGAAAGCCGTTTGAATTATTAAAACCAAACCTAGAAGTTGTGTTAGTATTCTAAGGTTATATAGGAGAAAAGATGGGAGCCTAACATGAAGGCAGCAAAAACTTTCTTTTTCTGGTATATATTTGCTTGGTTTGACAGATTACTTCTTCCATGTTTAAAAGCATGGGCAAAGAAACCTTTGAAAGTTTTTTACTTATTATATCTCTATTAAATAAGCTGATAAAAGAAACAGTTTTCTAAGGCTGATCACTAGTCAGTCTAACAAATTTCCTTTTTTATTTTTTAAACGCTTGTAGGAAGTAATTGCAGAATGCTTACTGTGTGGTGTCCTTCGTGCATTATCCTTTTGCTTTTGCAGAGAATAGTAAAGTGGCTAAATACAACTTGTTTTTATACATAGCTGTCAACATAAACTGAAGTGAGAACATCTGTAATTAAAGGTGTATTGTTGCTCACTGAAGTAGTTCCTATCAATGTTTTGTTTGCTTGTGTCTTGTAGAAATGCATGCGAGGTGCATTAGTTATTAATAGACACGGTATAGGATTACAAAGGCAGCTGTACTCAGGTGTACATTCAATCCATATACATGCCACTAGGTTGTATTGAGTGCGAAAAGTGGAAGTACATTGGCTGCTACCATTATGTTGTACAATACTGGTGTGGTGTGTCTATCAACTGCGGTGCGTTTTTGTTTTCACCGAAAGAAAACAAGTTGCTAATTATGTTATTTCCTCCTTTCTCCCCTCAGGAAGCCACTGACTGCCTAGAAATTAGGAAGGGCGTGAGAAGTCCAGTTGATCAAAGTGGAAACTTTTTTTCCTGAGAGCCTTTCCACATCTGGCTTTTGCAGGCTCTCTGGACGCTCCCCGTTGTGCCATGTTTTGTGGCTTTCTCTGTAGGAAGAATTTGTCTTGATGAAGATTCCTAACATTGGTAATGTGATGAATAAATTTGAGATCCTTGGGGTTGTAGGTGAAGGTAAGTAGTATACTTTATATAATCTGTTTATTTATTTATTAGATTTTACTTAGTCTTCTTGATGGTAAGAAGTTTTCATTTACAGAATGCTGCTTGTATCATATCTTGCAGAGAATAAATTGTTGTTCCTTAATTCCTTCCAATTGCAATCTTTGAAAGGAAAAGTTTGGGAAATGGCAGGGGTGGGAGGGGAGGTAAGAAAAGGAGGGGCCAGCTTTGTTGAAATTGACTGTATTAATTTCTTAAATGATACAGGATAGATGCCAGCTGTCAAACTTCTGTTTGTATATTTAAAAACAACTTCAATGTTGTTTTAAAACCCATTTACTTTGAAGTGTTTTCAGTTTTCACTACACAAAAATTTAGTAAAGGTGCCTATATGTGCAAGTTTAGGATGATACTGGGAACAATATTCTGCAGCCTGGAGATAACTGTACTCTTATCTTGATGCTTTTTTTCTGATTTGTTTCAGGAGCCTATGGTGTTGTACTTAAATGCAGACACAAGGTGAGTAAATTGCTTTAAATTAGAGATAAATGTTGGTATTTGGGTAATACAATGACTTATCTTGACAACTGAGGTGTTGTTATGTTTTAGATATGTTGTAATTGAGCAGGGCTTTTCTTTGCAGTCAGGCTTAATTGCAATACTGTCAAAGGAAGCAGCTGCATCTAGTGCGAAAACCCAAGGGTTTTTTGTAGTGTTTGTCTGAAATATGAAGTATTACTAACTTTTCACTAATTTCCACTAAGAAAGCCTCTTTTGAAAATAAATAAGCTAATTTGGAGTGCAATTTACTCTCTGTCAGTCTCAATTTGAATATCAAATTAATTGCCCAATATTTCCATATAAGTATTTATCTTTCTTGGGGAAGAAGAGGAATGCTTGTGGAATTTTCACCATTTGTGGTGGTGGACAAATAAAATACAGTAAGAAGGCACTGACTCTATGCTTATTGTTAAGAGGAAGAAGTAACACCCCTTGCCCTGAAAACCCTTTGAAAACCAAACAAACTTTTTTTTTTTTTTGTAACATAAAATGGAAATGATGGTGTTATGAAGAGTGGTTATGTCTGTACTTTCTGCTCATCAGCGCAGACCTAGTCTGCTGTCTTCAGAGCTGTAATACAGTCACAGTAAAGTATCTTTTATTTCAGGAAAGTAAGGCACTTCAGAATCATAGAATGTAGTGACTCAAGAATACGTAAAAGTTATTTTTATGTAGTTCATACTTTGTTCTAGAAAATATTAATGCTCTGAAGAAGACCTATGTTCCTGTTGTGGCTTTTAGCAAATACACAGAAGTCCTTTTGCACAGGACATGTTGCTATATTTGGAATGACTTACACTATTATACTGAGAATTTGGAGCTTGCACTTTGTAGGTAAACCTTGTTATATAGCACTGTTGGAACAGTTTTTTGGAGGTAATTGTAGCTTTTTTTTTTTAACACAAATATCTGAAATTTACAGAATACCACATGATAAGATAGTCGTTTCTTACCTTCTAGTAAAACCAGAGTAGATCTCTTGTTACTTTCTTTCCTAGCAATATATAAAGTGTAGTTATCAAAAAATAATACAAATATGTGATTAAACTGTGAATGGTAAATGTTGCTCTCGCTTTTGGATGTGATACAGGTGACTTGAAAATGAGTATGAAAAATGGCAATATGATACTTCAAATAATTTCAGCAGAAGAACCTCTGGTTTAATTCCTTGCATATATTTTAACTTGTCACATGATCTGTGCAGGTAAATATGCATTATTTTGACAAATGAAAGGGTGGTGAAAATGAGGGCTAGTGAGGCAGGTAAGAGAGTAAAAACATTAAATAGTATATTTTCTTTTTGCAAACCTTCTGACAGCCTTAGCTCTGGACGCATTGTTTCAAGATACAAATGAGACTTGAGCACACATCCTCTTGGAGATATTGTGCACATGCATAATAACAAAGCTAGTTAGTAGTTCCCTACATTATTTTCTCTCCTGGATTTTGTGTTACTTGTTATCTCTTACTTTTGCAGTATTTTAAGCACTGGCCAGAGACATGTAGATTCCCTTTAAAAATGGAAAAACGTAGAATCTGGGGAGACTCTATTTTAGGATGAAGCACTGTTGAAAGGATGAAGCCTTGGGGGAGACTTGATCCCTTTCAAGAATGGCTTTGTTAAATTTTATATTTTGAGATAATTACAGTAATAACACTGGAAATGTATTATAAAAGATCTGGGTGGTGACAGTGCAGTTTATACTAGGCAGGCCCCTTTATGGACGGTGGACACAAGAAGATTCTAGGATTTCCTGCACTGATGAGCGAATTTCCAGCTCTTTGTGCCATTGACAGTGGCCTAATCTGAAAGAGTTTGGTACTCTAAGATTGTAGTGTAGTGGCAGGCTTGTCTGAGTTATCTGAGTTCCTGTAAGAATACCTTGCAGTGTAACAAATGACAGGAGAGGGATGGCTTTCCTTCAGCAGTGGAAGGTGTTTTTTCCTACAGCCAGTGGAAGGACACTGAATTTCTTTGACTTTCATGCAGCCTTAGCAGAATTATCTGCAAATGCAAGGGTGTGTTTTTTGTGTTCACTGTTTGATGGCTGACTGGCTGTACCTAAAAGTACTGAATTTTAGTAAATGATTCTTCCACGTGATATGTCTGCTTTGAGTGCATTATGCAGCCTTTTTCAGCTCCACAAGGGTGGTCCAGAAATGGTGTAAAAACTAGAAGGTGCTGCAGTAACCAAGCCACCTTCGGTCATGTTCCCTCAGCACGCACTGCTTTTCTTTTTGCACAAAGCTAACAATTCTGTTTAACAATTCAAGTACAAAATTGTTTATATTCATCTTTACAAACAGTGCTAACATGCAAGAACCGATTTTAAGTCAACTTATTTCCATTGTATTAGAGAGAAGGTAAAATTTGCATCAAAAGAGGAGTGGGTCCTTAATTGAAACATTTTGTGATATATAATCCAGTAGTGCTTCAGTAAATAGGTAGCTTTTTGTACCAGTACATTTCAGTGGTGTTTGTATATGGATTTAAATTGGAGGGAATGTGCTAAGGGGTAAATACCTTGTCATTATTTCATGATTTTTTTTTCTTTGCTAGCAGAATGTTATCAGGAAAACAAGAGTACCTCCTCTAGAATGACTACATTTATGTAATTATATAGCATATTTCTATTGCAAATTCTTTATTGCTGCTTCTCTGTAAAGGTAACTTGTTTTTCTGGTGGTTTTTTTTTTTTTTTTCAATGTGAAACTAATATAAATGTTAAGAATTAAGCAGGGATCTGATGTTCTGTGAATGTTCTGAGGTTTTTTTTAATTAGAGGCCATTTCATAAGGAAATACACTGGTGTTACTTTTGAAAACACTGGAAATACATTTTATTTTCACAAGACATAATAAAGTGGGCTGTCTTGGCTAATTTGCTAGATCTTGTCTTTTCTGAGAAGAAAAGCAATTTTAGCAGTTCAGCTGTGTCAGAGATCAAAGCTAAGGGAAAGAGACTTGGTTCGTGTTTAAAATGGTTTTATTTAATGGGCAAATAATTGAACAAATATTTACTGTACAACTGAGTCTTGCAATGATGTGGTGTCCAAAGATGAGCACGCTGAGAAATGGAGAGCAAGGGGAAAAAAACAACTGAGATGTTGGTGTGAAAAGTGAATGTGTAGATGCACTGTGAGATACACTGTAGGGAGAAAAGTTGAAAACTGGAGCTGCAAGTAAGGAGGAGTCTGTAGAAATGAGGTTAATGTATCATTGGATAACTGGAAAGAGTGGAAACAGAGTCGAGATAGACAAGGTGGTAACACTGGTCTTCATTAGTGAGACAGCTTGCCATGGGGTCAGACTGGAAAAGAAGGATTCAAAATTATAGGTAGTCAAATCATAGATGTTTTCTTAATATGGGATGTCTGGTTTGAAGGTATTGATCTGATCTCTGCTTTACTTCCTGTCTGCAGAACATGCATACTGTTTTGTTTTATCTAACCAAGGTTTTACCAATATTCACTTGAATGTTCGACTAGTACCCAGATGCAACTCTGTGAGAAATATGTAAGTAAGGAATACATTGCATCATCAGAAGTGAGCGTGAAATACTTCGATACCTGAAACTGATCATTATGTAAATAAGAAATTATGTTGCTGATGGTCTTCTACTTTGGAGCTTGCAGAAATGGGGGAAAAAAAGCGCTAAAAGTATGCAACGGGGAAGTTGCATTCCTCTGTGCATTTGGATGTAGCTTTTAGATGAAGTGAATTCCCTAAAAGCATAGTGGGATTTCATCAAGTCTCCCTGGTTTGTTCGTACTCTTGCCCTGTGCTGTGTTACCAGAGTCTTTGGAGCCTGAGGGGATGCAGTTTAATGATTTAGAAATGTAATGCCAGTTCTTGTATGCACAACATCTCCTGCTTGATAAGATGTTTTCCTGGTCCTTCGTGCATCTGGTTCTGGTTGTTCTTTAATGTATTTAGATATTTTTAGACATTTTTTCTTAAAGAAAAAAACATCACTGAATTTCTGTATTTAAAAACAAAAGAAACCTTACTTTATAGAATAATGCAGCTACTTCACTGCAGTAAAGAATAATGTAGAACCTTTTCAGTAGGTTTAATACCTGAAGGCATTTTCCTCTTAACCTGATATTTAATTCAGTCTTTTTTGAGCCCTCACTAATACTCTTTCATTGTCTTTAGATAAATTTCATGTCTGAATACCTGAAAGAAATATTTACAGATCGTTTTAAGAAAAGTGCAGTATACTCATTACATCATATAAACATGGCTGCTGTTGTTTTTTTTTAACCACTAGACTTCACCTGAGCACCTCAACCTTTTCCATGTCTTTTGTCACTACTGAACAGCAGAGTCAGTTTCCTTGGTTTTCCCTTTTGCTGTTGCATAGCTGTAAAAACCCTTTACTTTGCCGTTTACAGTTTTTCAAGTGATGTGAGCTTTGGCTTTTGAAATATAACTCATGCAGCACGTTGAAGCAGAGTTTCTTTGTTTTTCTTCAGGTAGCCACTTTCTACTTCCTTGCTCTGTGCACTGCTTCTTTGTGTTTGAGCTCCATCAGGAATTAATTTCCTGCTTATCGGTGCTGCATGCTGTGTTAAACCACACCACCAATTCAGACAGTTTTCCCAGCATTTTGCATGGAAATGGGCTGGTCCTGTACTACAAGAAAGCCTTCCTTGAAGAACAGCTAGCTCTCGTAGATTCCTTTACCCCTTAATGCTGGCTTTAAGCAGAGGGTAAATGTGTTCTTTTGCAGGATCAGGATTGTAATTCTACTATTTGTCTTGTTTAGTTCTTCCAACATCTCAGATCATGGGGTTTTGTATCAAGAGTTGCTGATCCATTATAATCTCAGTGAGAAAGGCAAACTGTATAAATGCAGCAACATCTGATCAGGGTGCAGCACGCTGTGCCAACAGAAGGGGTTACACCATTGTCATAATTTGAGCTACTATAGGATTTTCTTAGAAGAAAACAAC